TATTGTCCTGCCCCTTTTTAAATTAAACCATGATGTTTCATTGTATAAAGCTTTTCAATATATGTCATTTAGGTTTTTTCAACGTATAGTTAATCATGACTTATATTGCACGCAGACTACATTTAGGTTCCCTTTTTCATATCATTGATTTTTTAAGCTTTCCTATTTCATTTTGAATTTTTTTTGAGTTACATTAAACAGGGATATCTGCTTAAAAATGAAAATATGAACAAAAATAGGTCAGTTTAAAATTAGCAATCTTATAACATAGAGATGCAATTCACCTATTTAGCCAATAACTTAACCGCTTGACTTCAACTCCAATACCAAATCGTATCTTTACCCGAGATGAAAATCCAGGTATGTGCAAGTCAATATGATTACCAAATAAGGGAAACCAAAGAAGTCTTTTCCATCCTAGATTGGTGAAATCAGGCAAAATTTGGGAAAAAAAAGGCGATTTACACTTAATAAAAATCTCTTTTTCATATTTACAAAAATGTAATATTTCATCATTTTTAGCTTTATTATTTACGCTTTGTTTAATGATGAACAAGAGGAGTGAATAAACAGAATAGACAGCAGTACCATATGTATATTACATTGCATGGATATAAAGTTGAATGAGCACAAAAAGAACAAAAGAAAAAAATAGAAAGAGCACCATTATTGCTCTTTCTACATAATTATTTTCCCTTGTCTTCAAAAAAAAGGGCTATGGAAGGCAATAAAAGGAATTGTAGGTGTGAAGAATGACATATTTTTACATTTCAACATATTTTCCTTGTCTTCAAAATGAGGATTAATACTCAACTAGTTTTGAAAAAGTAGCTTTTTATTTTCTTTCAGATACGTAAATGTCCAAGTTAATCCCAGATTTTGGATTGCAAGATCCTGGTTTTGTAGAAATGTCCAAGTTGAGCCTAAATTATTGGAGTGTGGCTCCCGCATTTTATAGCAAGTTTTGGGAATTCCTTTCCAGGAGAAGCTAAAGTTGACAAGGCTATTCAGAAATGACGTTTATCCATATAAAATTGAATAAATAAAAGACATCTCATTCTTGATCCTTAACTATAGATGCTGGATTTACAATCAGTTGATATTTTCTGTACGCACCGGAAAAGAACTAGAATTCCATTTTAAACTTTTTTTTTTGGGGCAGTGTCCACTTCAAGCTTTGATTTTTTTTTTTCCTCAACAATTTTTTGTGTATTTGAGCCTTGAAAGTAAGTAAGAGCCTTTTAGAGATAATATTAAACTTGTTCACTAGATTAGCAGGAAACTGCTCAGATAAGTGCTTTGTAAACAACATAATTAGAGTGAGAACAAAATCGCCAAACATGCTTTTGTCAAGTTTTAATGATCTATGACACTAAAATAAATCCTTTAATTAAAACGAACTGCATGTAATTAAGCATTCTCCTAGAGCTAATTTCCTGTAAAACCACGCTCATCTTGTTGGATTTTTATGAGAATTTGGCAGAGTTGACATTCTTTGTGAATTTGAAAGGTCAAAGATGTTGGCATATTAAACCAATACAATTCTAGAAGTTTACGTACACCTTTGTATCAAGTTTTGTTCAGGATAAGCTTTTTGTGGTTTTCTTAATTTATTATCTGGTGTTAATTATTGCATTAGGAAGATTCTAGTGTTATTTGTGTCTTCAACAAGTTTTCTAGAGTACTTTGGTAATGTAGTTAGTTGGCAAGAACGAAGTATTGAGTCTTGCTTTTGTTGTTTAATTAAAAACAAGCTGATTTTATTCTTCTTATTGCACAGATATTTTAAGTGTATAATATAGCCTACCCTTACATGTTGCAATGTGTTAAATTCATCTCCTGGCTTGTATAGTTTTTTAGTTTCTGCAAAAGTGACTGGCTTCTACATTAACCATATTCTTGTCCTCTTTTAAATGAAATCTCTTACTTGAAAAGTTGCATAGAAGGTCTCAAAAGGAACTACAGGATTAACAATTTTTCTCCATTTTTTCATTTTATAACCTTGTGCTCAGCATTGTGTGATTTGTAATATTGTGATAGCCCCGTTAACCTTATAACCGTAGTATTTGAAATTGCAAATATATAAAACAGGAAAGGTGAGAAAGTATGAATCTCTAGTAAGACCATTCAACATTAAACAAATTACGTACTCTATTCACTAAACCTATTTCTAAGCTCATATTCCTACCAAATTTGAGTTACGATTGTTGTACTGACTTGATATATTTTGAAGGGATAATTTTAGAAACCTCCCTTGAGATTTTTGACAATTTTACTGAGCTCTTCTGAGATTTGAAAAATTATACCTATCTCCCTTGATTTGATAGGTTTAGTAACAAAACCTTAAAATAATATTGACTTGGTCAAATTTTTAAATGAATATCCAAAAGTGCCCTTGTGTACTGAGTTTTAATTTATTTCCCTATACAATTATAAGATTATCTAGTGTAATTACAAGGAAAAGGTGCCAAAATTTTCATGTCCATACATACTATTTGATAAACAATTATAATAATAATTTTATCACTATGATACGATACTTTTGATGGTATTTTATTATGGATTTATATTTATAAGATAGAAAAGAAAATGTTGATATAATTGATTTAGAGTTTATGAATTTTTTGAATAGTGAGATTATCATAATTTAGTAGTGGTTTTGGGCTATTTCTTTTTTATTTATTTTTAATTTTAATACCAAAAAATAGAAACAAGTATTAGCAAAAAATATTGGATTACATATAAAGTTAACTCATAAAAAAAACACTAGTTTGACATTTGGTTACAATAGAAACTAGAGGTAATAGTGGTAGTTCTACAGTTTTATTGGTAAAAAATTAAAATAAAAAGGAATAAGACGGAAGAAGAATGAAAAAATCATTTTAATTATAAGTATATCGAACAAGGGAATTTCATTAAAATATTTAAGGGTAGTATTGTCATTTTAAATGATAAGGGAGGTATGTATAATTTTAAAAATCTCGAGGGAGCTAAGTGAAATTGATAAAAACCTTAAGGGAGGTTTTTGAAATTATCCCTATTTTGAATGGAATAAATAATTTAGATCATCTCATCGCCTTGGTGTTTGAAATTGCTATGTAAAGATAAAAACGACTTTATATGCTCCAAGCCTCCAACAGCATTTGTCATATCTGTATCAACCTTTTAAGACTGAATCTATAACATTGTGCCAAAAAAACATGATATGGAAGGGTCGTATTTTGGGAAACAAGACCTAGAAAGGGTCGTACTATCGGGAACATATTTCCCCATGGATTGTCTATTAATCAATACATTCATACTTCTACGGTAAGGGCATCCGAAAGAATCAGCTTACCAAATATTATTGTTCTGGCATTATTGAAGTGACCGTGCCCCACCCACGTTGTGTCGTGACTCTAGGTATCAGCAAACAGCCAACTTGTGGCCCCAAATCCTACAATCAACATGCTCAAGCACTCTAGGGACCTTACCAAACAGCCTTTGTTAGTTGAAATATCTTAAGTACTATCTCGAACAAAGATATGATCATTTTATATAAAATTATAGAGAGATTATGTAGATAAATGGAATGTACAATAAGTAGTAAAGTGGATATTCATGCATATAGGATGCTTCAAAAATTAATAGAAACTTCCTCTCACTAAGTTGAGGCTTTCTCTCTCTAAGTAGAAGTGCTCTCTCTTGGGATAGGAACTCTTCACCTTTTTTGGTGGGAAAGGCAGCAAACTCAAACTTTTTCAAACTACCATACTCCCGCACTTTTACCAACAGGAGCTTCCAAGGCAGATGCTTCCTCAACTCTGTCAGAATCAATGCAACCGAAAGCAGTATATCTTTGAGATTAGTAATGCATGGATAGAAGTAGCTCAAGCGTCACAAGCTCCAAACCTTGGGTAAACTTACGCCAGGTATAACGAGGTGCTGTGTTTCTATCTTGCCTTTGTACTTTTAAAGGCAACCGTGATCAGAGCAACTTTTTACATTTTCTTTCTTCACTTTCGGTTTTTGTCAGCAGAATCACTCAGTGTTTCTAGTGGCCTCTTTGCCCTTTTGTTTTTTCCTTGTCTGTCTCTACCCTGTTTTTACCCTGTGTCTCCTAAGTGAGGTGTGGAATTTCTGTCTAGAAATAGCTGACCCTGTCCATGGAGGGAGATCTATCGGAACTCTTACGGAAATTTACTCTGGAAGGGAATGAGTTCTCAGGAGCTACCCTGGAGGTGGAAGACCTGCATAATGGAGTGAGAGCTTGCGAAGGTAGTCTTATAGGAAGGGTTATAAGAGAGAAAGTGATTAACTTTATAGGGATTAAAAGTTTTTGTGGCTATGGCATGGGGTTATCTGAGGAATATGACAGTGATGGAACTGGGACCTAATGTGTTTCAGTTCAACATCCCGATTTCTGATGAGATGGAAAGAATTGTTAATGGGGGACCTTGGGTGATAGATAATCGAGTTTTAGTGTTGAACAGGTGGACTGAAGGGATAGAAGAAGACTATAGAGCCTTTATGTTTGCACCCCTTTGGGTACAAATCTAGAATTTGCCAGTTCACTGGCATTCTAAAGAAGTTGGAAAAAAGATTGGAGCAGTGTTTAAAAAAGTTGGAGAGGTGTTAGTACCTCAATCTGGAGGGAAAGTGTGAGAATCCGAGAAAATTATATGTATGCCTTGAATTTATTTCATTTTATTTACTTTAATATTAGACATATCATATATAATGAATAAACGGTTAAATTAAATGCCTAATTGAATCTCCATAAAATTGAGAATTTAGAAACTATCCTAGGATGGCATGAGAAATTCTTATAGGAGTATGCAAATTGGAACAAACTAAAGTTTGAGGCAATATTTGAAGATGGTAAAATTTCAACTCCTTAGCAAGTAAATAAATTAATTCAAAAGACCATTTTAACCTCAACACTTGAGCAATTAACTATGCAACCGAATTGACCATTCTCGGCTAAGCATAAGACTGAACAGAGGATTAAAATTCGGTGGATTCCATTTGGTATCAATTTGCTAAGAGCAAAAGAAGAACAACCGAGAGCTAAGCTATCTTTTCTCCAAACCCAAAACTGAGAGTAGAAGTGAGAGCGAGGGAGAGAAATTTTGCTAGCTTCAACACCTGCTAATCACAACCGAGAGAGAGTAAAGCAAGGAGAACTGGAGCGAGAATCTGGTGCAAGAAATTTGAGGAACCAAAGCAGAGAATTAGAGCCGTCTGCAATTATCGAATTCTAGAGGAAAAGAGGTAAGATTCTGCAATAACTTCCTGCCTATTTAGTATAATTGAATATATACAAGCTGCTTGTTGAACTTAGCTAGGAAAATGAGCTCTTGGCTGAAGGAAATTCTGTGTAGCAACTGAAAAGCTGTAGGAAAGGAAAATTGCAGAAACCGAGAGTGAAAATTTAAATCTGCAACTTGTTATCAATATTTCTTTGGAGAATAATGTTAAGAAGTGCATGCAATATATTTATCTTAAGTTTATAAGAGGTTTAGCTGGGAAAACTTGTGAAAAGTTGGAAGTTTGAGCTGGAAATTGCTAAAGGAAAGTCACTGGAAATTTTCCAGCTTTAGCTGAGAGAGGGAATAGAGTTTTATCTAACTTTTCTTTTCGAATCCCTGGTTATAAATTCTATACTGCTGCTTAAGTTATCTTATCTTGTAACATAACAACAACCCCTATATGTTCAGTTGGGAGTGAGAGAATGCATAAAATTGAGAAAGGCAGTTTCATACTTACACTGTTAACATTTGCTAAAGGTTATATGTTGCTGATGACAGGATTATTTGAGGCTAATTGGTGGAACTGCTGCTGGAATTGTATGCAAGTTTGCTTTAGATTAGATTGGACAAAAATATACTAAGTGTTTAGTGTTTTAAGCAAGTGAAAGATAGAACTTTGTTGAAAATTCTGAGGTAATGTAGCTTGAAACATGTGTGCTGGCCGAGGGAGTTAGGAGGAAGAGTTCTTGTGTTATTTTGAAATTTCCAAGATAATTGGTTATAAATTTTGTATAAAACATCTTATAACATCTTGTCCTAGTTTTCATGTGCATCTTATTGATTTTTTTTAACACTTAAAAAGCTGGTGTAGTGGAAAAAAACCCAAACTACAAACAACTTAGAATCTGGTTTAGCTTAAATGGAACAAATGAAGAGTTCATTTGCCTTAATCCTTGAATATTGGATAGAAAATGATTTAATCTTAGTCTAAACTTCTTACAAGACTTTAAACTTGGAATATACGTATATTTCTTTGGTTTTTGTTGAAATTTGATGCTTAAATTATATTAAAATTGCTGGTATGAATGTCATACTTAAGTCTATGGGTGGTTTGAACAAAAGTCTTGTGGTTTTAAAAGAGAAAAAGGAGTTTTTCACAAGTGAAAAATGAGTTTTCAGATCTTCGGATTTTACTGACCAGTTTCAGTAAAATGCTTATATCTTGGTGTAGAAAAATCCGATTGAGGTGCCGTCAGCGGCATTTGAAACTAGACTCATGGGCCTTTGTTTTGTACAAAATACAAATGTCATATTTTTCCTCCATGTGTACTGCTGTACGTGAATCCTCAAAGTAGGTTGTCCAGCTTGAATGTCCTGTTTTCTTCAGGAAAATAAATTTTTGACTTGGATCGAATATTTGACCTATTTGTGATTTGAATCTCTGAAAAGTGTCTTCTGGGATGTGGTAGTACTAAAAATCTATTTTACAACGGTATAACTTTCATAATTTTTCGACTTGTGGAACTCGAGTTGTGAATTTTTAAAGTTTACTGTTACTGTTCATCTCAGTTGATTCCTGAAGCATAGAAACGGGCTTCTTAACTTTAAAACCTCGAACGGCCTACTTCCAATCTCTTACCTTGATTTTTCCACTTCCTTGACTTCAAATGTATCCCTATTGAACTTCTCTCGCTAATGTATCTCTCCTTTCCTCAAAGTTTTACGCTTTAACAAGTTATCTTAATTAAAGCGGTCAAGACTTGTACTTAACTTTTAGCCACCATTTCCGAATTTCCAAGTGAAGCTTACATGCTAAAATTGCCTTTTTGTGTGGATGACACTGAGCCTAGTTGAAGGGCTATTGTGTTAAGATTGCTTATGTATGACTTTGGAGCTGAGTTGAGGAAAATAATGAAGCCATAAATGGCTGGAAAATAGCTAAATACAAAGGGCATGCCGCCCAAATTTTCACTTGAAAGTTAGGCGTGTGTACTCGCGACTTGAGTGAAGATTTGAGAACGAATTGAACTTGAATTGTCTAGGGTTTTCGAGTCTTCTTTCGTAGAGGCATATAAGTTGGAATTTGGCCGAAACTCGTACCCTTGGAAAGATGAAAGTAGTGATCACTCGAAATATGTTTTTCTCGTCTTTTGAACTCAAATGCGAATTCCAAAGTTTTAGTTGCTTCTTTAGCAACACCGAAAGAGCGAGTATGAATTTTCTAGAATTTGATACGTAACATAAATCCTATCTAAACGAGTTTCATTTACTTGATCTGTTTAAAGCGAGACTCTTAAGTGTCGAACCCTAGTTGATTTCAAGTTTTTAAATGATATTGTATCGCAGATTTAGACTCCGACCAAGGAGTTACACCTGAACGTAATTTTGACAAGCACTAAACCTTTGGTGAGTGCTTCCAAATACTTGATTGTACTTGACACTTGTGTTTAATACTTGAATAATGTGATTACATGATATATGAGTGGAGTGATAGGGCAAGTGTGTACTTTATCGCACTTGCCCTAATGTGATTTGTTCTTGGTCATTGATTTCAGTTGAATTGATATACATGCATATGAATTACATCTTGTCTGGAATTCCAGAAACCCTGTGGCTAGTTAATCGAGTCGAGCCGGCAAGGGTCTGGTCGATTACATAACGAACCCTGGATAGTTAATGTTGTCGAGTAGAGTGTTATCTCCTCGACTAATCGGTATACTCGAGTATTACCACCAGTGTTTATCTTGGAATTCGGGCCCAGTAACGGGTTTGGTTGGTGGACGGAGATTGGAGTTAAGTGGTGTACTACTGGACTAGTTACCTGACTTGAAAGTTGACGGAGTGTCAACTACTAATTGATCAAGCGATGATGGACCTGGTTTACAAAAATGATTGTATCCTTTTACGTGAAATACTGAATATGAAATGTTGGTTGTACAAGTTTATTGCTTATTTCCTTGACTTGTTATGCTCGCTATTTTACTATTATTATATATTTACTGTTAATTAATGGTCAATTTGCTATTTGGAACATCACTGAGTTTTAGCTCACTCCGTTAGTTTTGTTTTCCTTACAGGGGGTACGAGTGAGGCGTGAGACTTGTAAAGACTAGCGTAGTCTAGTTGTTTTGACTTTTGAAATTGTACTCGCGCTAGCACCCGATTAAGGTTGATTGTTCTCGATTTGTAAACACTTTAAAGTATTTTGGTGTGTAGAAACCTTGTATCTGGGGTTGAACATCAATGTATATATGATGTTAATTAGTTGCTATGGATGTAAGTTATTTTCTCGAGTTACGAGTGAATGAATCCTGACGAGAGTTGGGCAGGCGACTCGCTAAACCCTAGGGTACGCTCTAGGGGGAGGTGGGGTCATCACAGAAAGAGGGCAGGCATCTGAAAATCTTAGCACTAGTAGATGATAAAGGTTTATTTTACATATTTTTAAGTGCATTTTAGTAGTTAATTCTGGTTTCATTATTTAGTTTTATGACTAAAATAACTAGGTTTTGGGTAAAAATATACATTTTTGGTAAAAGTGGCTAATATTGCATTTCTTTTGATTTTAATGGTAAAAATTTCATTTTCATGCAGGATTAATGATTCAATCACCAACGGATGTCAAGTGAGATGAAAAGTAGATAATTGGTAATGAATTCAAGTGGTAAAAAAAGAAATGAAGTGAAAAACATTTAAATGAAGAAATGCAGTTCAAGACAGTTTTGACACTCTTCGGTATTTCGACTATATCTAGAGCTACATATATCAGATTGAGGTGATATTTATACCATTTTGAAGCTAAGAGAAAGATCTAGATTTGGTATGAAAACATCGAAATCCAATTCTGTTGTTTTCATAGACAAAAAATCGAAATGCAGAAGTATTCTACGGACGAGAATGAAACAGGGGTTTGATCAGGTGATAGTATTTGATCATATCTTAGTTTACAAAGCTCCGATTTGGATGATTCTTGAAGCATTGTAAAGCTAATTCAAAGGGCTACAACTTTTTGTATTTTACACAAAAACTAGTTCGACTTTCATCATGGAGAAAATCGCAGCAGAAGTGAAGCAAAAAACACAGAGTTGAAAACGTGAGTTGACAAAACGCGACTCCAAGCCGCGTTTTCTGAAGTCGCGTTTTGTAGCCGAAATTCTGTAATTTGTTCAACCATTTCTCTTATGTTCACACACTTTCCAGCTATTTTTGGTAAGGAAATTCGGCTGCACATGCTTCAGAAGACAAAAAGGAAGAGATATAGCCAAAGTTCCAAGTAAAAAACCATGGTTTTTGACTTTCTTAACAAATTGAGATTTGAGAATCATTAGAGTGGAACTTTGACCGGTGGAATGGAGCTGATATCAGTTTATATACAGAGATATTTGGGAGGTCTATTATCATACGGGAGAAGCTTGGAGAGTGCAGATATGTAGTTTTTTCATTTTTTTAGTGTAGGATAGTTTAGCTAGTTAACTCATCCACTCTTGTATGTTGGCTAGATTAGGATGAAGATGGAGATGAAGAAGAAGGAGTTGAAACTCAAGTGACATGGGTTATCTTTTTTCCAACTCTTTATCTTTTGTATTGGATTCTTAAATATGGTTAATATGCAAGTTTTGGATTTCATGTTTATTAGATGTCTTTAAAGTTTATGCCTTGGGTTTGGTTGAACTTTCTATGATTGCTAGTGTTTATTATTTGGTTATTTGATGCCATTATTTTGAATAAGTTATTTAGCACTTTAGCTCTTTGAAATCATGATTAATTTGGTACCATTGATTGTGATTATCTAAGGTGTTGTTTTTGCAATAAAAATTGAGATTTAACACTGGTTCAAGAAGTGCTAAACATAGGGAGTACACTCACGAGAGTAGAGGTGCACCTATGTGGTTTTAGTGATTAATTTCATGTAATTTCATTAAAGAAATGAACTTGTAACTAATTTCATAACCATGAGAATAGGTATGGATTAGTTATAAGTATAGTTGATTCACTACGAAAGTAGGTTTCATATGCATAAGGAAATTACATCATAACTAACCTAGATAGTAGTGCTCAATGATCCAAATATAGCACTTGTATGAGTAGTTAGGTATACCATAATCTAAGTAGCTTTCATTTGTTATTTTGCATAAGTTCAATAGGTTTCATTTCTTATAATTCATTGATAGTCTAAATAATAGAGAAGTTTTAGTAACACTGGTAATTGTTCAATTTTTCTCGTGGGATCGACCCGATATATACCTTAAACTACTAGTTGACCTGTATACTTGTAGTGAAACGGATGTATTTCGGATTTTTTGAACTTGTACATATATTAAAATCCCGTCAAGTTTTTGACGCCGTTGCCGGGGAAGATTTGGCAATATCGGTGTGAAGAACAACTTATTAGTTTAGACATTTTATTAGTTATCGACTGTGTGTTAATTGTGTCTAGTCAGTCTTGAATTCATTTTCTTTTATTTTTTTGTGTTTTAAGTGTGTATGTGTTTTATAACCTATTCTGCTTACTAATCTTGCTCTTAAGTTGTTTAAAAATAATTTTAGGTAATGAGGAGGATAGGTCAATTTGGAGAACAATGCTTGAGAAATGGAAGATTGGCAATGGGTGGTTACCGAGTGTAAAACTCCTTCAATAGAGATAATAAAAAATTTACTGAAGGTGTGTCTTTTGAAGATGGGTTGAAGTGTTTAAAGGCAAAATTTGATGTAATTATGTTACAAGTTCAAATGGACACAATTATGCATGAAATTGAGCAAGGGAGAAATGTTAATGCTTTTAATTCTTATCATGTGATTTATGACTTATGTGGAGATTATCATACTACTCATACATGTAGACAAACACAAAATATGGATTATTTTGATGAATTAGAACATTACAATCCTTATTTTGATCAATATAGTGCTAATTGAAGCAATTCTCCTGCCTATAGTTGGGATAATCAATGTACTTATAGCAATTCTTCATAATTTTATGATTACCAACTTGAATGTGTCCAATATGAATCAAAACCATTTTGGGAGTTGACAATAGAAAGAGTAGCTAATGATTCTAAACCATCTTGAAAGGTAGCTTTAGAAAAATTAACTAATACAACTTCCGACCGTTTTGATAGGATTGAGGAAAGAATAGATGAATTAGCTTCTCACTTTGGTAAAATACATGAGCAATTGAATGTATTGTGTGAAGTTATTTCTTCTAATAATTTACAAAATGACCCTAGCATGAATGGTAGGATGTAGTATGTGAAAAAGGATTGCATTTTGATGAAAATGATGAATCTCAATGGTGTTTCAATGAGCAAATATCCATTTCACATGATAATATCTTTGGAACTAACCTTGAACCTCAAGATGTGAGTTTTAATGACTCATTTTTCACTCCTCTTGAGGAGTGTATTGAAAGTATAGGTTCTAAAGGTATTGTTGCCTAAGATATCCTCATTACATCTCCTTTGGTAAGTTCTCAAATGGTGCATATTCAAGATAATATCTATGAAACACTTGGGTTAGGTAAGTCACTTCCATCTCTCATATCATTAGAACACGTGACTTTTACTATAAAGTCACCTTTTAATGATCTACCACGACCTAAAATGGTGGATTATTCTTTAATCAAGCCTCCTTGAAAAATGAGATTCAATAGTCGAGCCAACAACTATAAATAAAAACGCTTGTTGGGAGGCAACACAATATTTTGGCTATTTATGTTATTTTGGGGTGATTTTATGTTTAAAGTATGAGTTTGAGTTATTTTATTATTTTTCATTTGCAGGTATTGGAAATGAAAGCAAAAGTGACCAAATGAGGTGAAAAAGGCGAAATTTGATCAAGGAACTCAACCCCTCGATTTGAGTAATTGTTGTTTTTGATTCGTTAGAATGGGTTAAAATGCATGTTTTGATCATTTTATATATGCATGCAGTGAGTATTTTAGCAAACAAATGATCTATGATGCATTTTGAAAAATTGGGATACCATTAGTAATTATTCAAAAGTTGCATTTCTGCATAATTTTGCAGAAGAAAACGCGCCTCTGAGTCGTGTTTTCATAGAAACACGTTTTCAATTCTGCATCGGTATCAAAGAAAATGCGCCTTCAAAAGAAATCGCGTTTTCCAGCTTGTTCAGAAACCAGAAACGCGCCTTCAAATACGCGACTATAAGTTGCGTTTTGCCACAGAATTGCGTTTTTTATGCTGCAACTTTTGTGAAGAAACGCAACTTCACTACACGCAGCTTGATGGTGCATTTTGATGAGTCGTGTTTTCTGAGCACGTTTTTTTTTAAGAAAAATGCAGGTTCCTTGATTCTCTTTTTTTTCCTTATATATTTTCTTGTACCTTGAGTAGTTTATTGTATATTTTATAGAGGTACATCACCAAAACAAAGGCTTGAAGTTACAGATCACCATTTTGTTTATTAAACCTTTGTTATCACTTTTGTTTCTCATTTTTCATTTTTAGGTTTATACAACTAATGGTTATTCAATGGAACTCATGAAGTATTGAAGATACACGGAAAACGGATCTTGAAGCTTCATATTCAATCGCAACAATAGGGGAGTATTACTTTCTTTATCTTGGTTTTCCTTTTTACACATTGAGAACAATGTGCATGTTAAGTGTGGGGGGGGAGAATTGAGATTATATACATTATATGTGATTGACTTATTAGTTGTAAATATTGGACTTGTGTTAAAATTCAAAATTTTTCTTGTCCAAAATTGCAAAGTTGCCCCAAAAATGTTTCAATTTTTTTTTCAATTTATCTAAGGGGTAACAAGTTTCTTACCATTAGTAGTTCAAATTCTTTCTACATTTGAGATAAATATATATGATTTGGAAACTTCTTTTCTCATTTAACTTGGAAATGACTATTATGTGATTAGCCCCTTTGGGAAAAAAAAAGAGACTATTATGTGATTATAATTTTGCATTTGTAAGAAAGTATATCTTTTAAAGTAGAGAAAATTATGCCTATTTTTTTGCATATTTAATGAAATTTCTTCTCTTTATTTGATTTTATAAGTTAAGTAATAAATTTGGTCAATAAGTGCAATATTCTTCTCATGATTATTCTTTTGAGAAAATTATTATTATCTTTGCTGTTAAAAAAAAAAAGAAAAAAAGAGAAAATGAAAAAAAAGAAGAAAAAAGAAAATAAGATTTGTTCTACTCCAATGATTCTTGTACTTAGTAACCGTGAGTCTTCATCTACAAATACTGACTTTCGCATAAAACAGTACTTGAATTAAGAGTATGCAAAGCAATTTGAGCATGTGAAGTGTTGAGTAACCGGTGATATTCATCTAAAAATATCGATCCTCGCGTCAAAAAGCACTCTCACGTCTTAAGTAATATTTAGATATGTTATATGAATAAATATCTTTTTAAGTAGAATAAAAAGATGATCATAAGTTTAGAAAACATTTTATTGACCATATGAATTACTTGCTTGTAAAATTGGGTAAGGATGAAAAATTGATTTGAATTTGTTATAATGGTGGTATAATTAGCTCTCCTTTACTTGATATTATGAGTACTTGATGAGTAATGAAAGATTGCATAATGGTTATTTACTTGTTTTGAGAAAATGAAGTTGATAGTGCATATATGTTTATTTTCAAAATTTTGAATCATTGTTGGTTTGTATTTCTGATTGCTTGAGGAAAAGCAATGGTTCAAGTGTGGGGGTATTTGATAAGGGTTTATTTTACGTATTTTAAGTACATTTTAGTAGTTAATTCTGGTTTCATTATTTAGCTTTATAACTAAAATAACTAGATTTTGGGTAAAAATATACATTTTTGGTAAAAGTGGCTAATATTGCATTTCTTTTGATTTTAATGGTAAAAACTTCATTTTTCATGCAGGATTAATGATTCAATCACCAACGGATGTCAAGTGAGGTGAAATGTAGATAATTGGTGATGAATTCAAGTGGTAAAAAAAGAAATGAAGTGAAAAACGTTTAAGTGAAGAAATGCAGTTCAAGACAGTTTTGACACTCTTCGTATTTCAACTATATCTAGAGCTACACATATCGGATTGAGGTGATCTTTATACCATTTTTAAGCTAAGAGAAAGATTTAGATTTGGTATGAATACATCGAAATCCAATTCTATTGTTTTCATGGACAAAAATTCGAAATACAAAAGTTGTATTCTATGGACGAGAATGAAACAGGGGTTTGACCAGGTGATAGTATTTCAATCATATCTCAGTCTACAAAGCTCCGATTTGGATGATTCTTGAAGAATTGCAAAAACTAATTCAAAGGGCTACAACTTTTGTGTTTTGCACAAAAGCTAGTTCGGCCTCTATCATGGATAAAATCGCAGCAGAAACGAAGCCAAAAACACAGAGTTGAAAACGCGAGTTGACAAAAAGCGATTCCAAGCCGCGTTTTCTGAAGTCGCGTTTTGTAGCCGAAATTCTGTAATTTGCTCAACCATTTCTCTTATGTTCAAACCACTTTCCAGCTATTTTTGGTAAGGGAATTTGGCTGCACATGCTTCAAAAGACAAAAAGGAAGAGATATAGCCAAAGTTCCAAGTAAAAAACCATGGTTTTTGACTTTCTTAACAAATTGAGATTTGAGAATCATTAGAGTGAGACTTTGACCGGTGGAATGGAGCTGATATCAGTTTATATATAGAGACATTTGGGAGGTCTATTATCATACGGGAGAAGTTTGGAAAGTGCAGATATGTAGTTCTTCCATTTTCTTAGTGTAGGATAGTTTAGCTAGTTAACTCATCTACTCTTGTATATTAGCTAGATTAGGATGAAAATGGAGATGAAGAAAAAGGAGTTGAAGCTCAAGTGACATGGGTTATCTCTTCTCCAACTCTTTATCTTTTGTATTGGATTCTTAAATATGGTTAATATGCAAGTTTTGGATTTCATGTTTATTATATGTCTTTAAAGTTTATGCCTTGGGTTTGGTTGAACTTTCTATGATTGCTAGTGTCTATTATTTGGCTATTTGATGCCATTATTTTGAATAAGTTATTTAGCACTTTAGCTCTTTGAAATCATGATTAATTTGGTACCATTGATTGTGATTATCTAAGGTGTTGTTTTGCAATAAAAATTGAGATTTAACACTGGTTCAAGAAGTGCTAAACATAGGGAGTACACTCACGAGAGTAGAGGTGCACCTATGTGATTTTAGTGATTAATTTCATGTAATTTCATTAAAGAAATTAACTTGTAACTAATTTCATAACCATGAAAATATGTATGGATTAGTTATAAGTATAGTTGATTCACTACGAAAGTAGGTTTCATATGCATAAGGAAATTACATCATAACTAACTTAGATAGTAGTGTTCAATGATCCAAATATAGCACTTGTATGAGTAGTTAGGGATACCATAACCTAAGTAGCTTTCATTTGTTATTTTGCATAAGTTCAATAGGTTTCATTTCTTATAATTCATTGATAGTCTAAATAATAGAGAAGTTTTAGTAACACTGGTAATTGTTCAATCTTTCTTGTGGGATCGACCAGATATATACCCTAAACTACTAGTTGACCTGTATACTTGCAGTGAAACGGGTGTATTTTGGATTTTTTAACTTGTACGTATATTAAAATCCCGTCACCGTGATCAGAGCAACTTTTTACATTTTCTTTCTTCACTTTCGATTTTTGTCAGCAGAATCACTCAGTGTTTCTAGTGGCCTCTTTGCCCTTTTGTTTTTTCCTTGTATGTCTCTTTCCTGTTTTTACCCTGTGTCTCCTAAGTGTGGTGTGGAATTTCTGTCTAGAAATAGCTGACCCTGTCCATGGAGGGAGATCTATCAGAACTTTTATGGAAATTTACTCTGGAAGGGAATGAGCTCTCAGGAGCTACCCTGGAGATGAATGACCTGCATAATGGAGTGAGAGCTTGTGAAGGTAGTCTTATAGGAAGAGTTATAGGAGAGAAAGTGATTAACTTTACAGGGATTAAAAGTTTTGTGGCTATGGCATGGGGTTATCCAAGGAATATGACAGTGCTGGAACTGGGACCTAATATGTTTCAGTTCAACATCCCGATTTCTGATGAGATGGAAAGAATTGTTAATGGGGGACCTTGGGTGATAGATAATCAAGTTTTAGTGTTGAACGGGTGGACGGAAGGGATAGAAGAAGACTATAGAGCCTTTATGTTTGCACCCCTTTGAGTACAAATCTGGAATTTACCAGTTCACTGGATTTCTAAAGAAGTTGAAAAAAAGATTGGAGCAGTGTTTAAAGAAGTTAGAGAGGTGTTAGTACCTCAATCTGGAGAGAAAGAGGGCAGGCATCTAAAAATCTTAGCATTGGTAGACTTGTCTAAACCTCTTCTAAGAGGTACTGTGGTTAAGATTGCAGGAGCTCTTAAGTGGGTAGCTTTTAAATACGAAATGTGCCCTGATTTTTGCTATAGTTGTTGTATAGTAGGACAGAGTGAGAGGTCCTGTAAAGAGAGGAGAGTCCTAGGGGGATGCAATGTAGAAAACCAATACGGCCTTTGGTTGAGAGCTGGAAATTATAGAAGCTCTCCTCAAAAGAAACCAAATAGACCTGATGTGTTAAGCGACAAAAGATATTGGTCCTTTCAGAAAGGAGAAATGGATGAACAGGATAATAGTAGGACCAAAATGACAAAGAGTCTGTTGGAAACTCTTAAGTCCATTGGTGATAGAGGAGATAGCACTCAGGTTTTAAGGAAAGATATGGAGGATGATAGGTTAGCAAAAGATACAGGAGCATCAACAAATGTGATGAGAAGCAAGGAGGATACGCAAGATTGCCAGGAGGGTCAGTTGAACCTGGATAAGAGGAGCCCTGACCTCCCTCTAGTGATTGAAGTTGAGGAAGAAATTCAAAACCCAACTGTTGTAGAAGAAATGGAGGAGGATAGAGAGGTCGAGATATTGAACCTAAATCAAAATCAAGAACTTGGGGCCAATGAGGAGTCAATAGGGGCTCTAGTGCTCCACCATGATTCCCAATGTACTGAGAGGGTGGTGGAGGTAATAGATAAGCAAGCCAAGAGGACATTTAGGAGGTTGAAGTCCCCAACCAGAACCAGAAAACTTTTGAGGGAGTTAAATGGCAAAGGAGAGAGCCAGATGAATGTTGGGAAGAGAAAGGTTCTGATTAGGGATGAAGAGATGGAGAAAGCTAACCATGAGGTAGTACAATGGAAAAAAACTAAGCCCATGGAGGAATTGTATTCTGCTGAGGTGAGGGGAGAGGAGGTAGAGTCCTTCCTTAATGGGGCCCCTAAAGGAAAATGAGAGTCATGGTGTGGAATTGTCAAGGAGTGGGGAGCCCCTTGACAGTTCCCCATCTGAGGGGGGTGAATAACCTCTCCTCTCCAAGTTTGATTTTTTTTAAGTGAGACTAAAAATAGGAAACCAGTTCTTGATAGAATAGCTAGAGGGCTCAGATTTGACAATAATGTAGTGGTTGAAGCTATGAATAGAGCAGGGGGCATGGCTTTATTTTGGACTAAGGAAACACAAGTTCTGGAAGTGAACACTACTGCTTTCACAATAGAGGCTAAAATTGAAGACACTGACAATCAAGTTATCTGGTGGTTTATTGGATTATATGCTAGTTGTGACCATATGATAAGGAGGGAGCAATGGAGGGTGCTGAGTAATAGGAAAGGTTATGGGGTTCTAGGTACTTGATAGCTGGGGACTTTAATGACATTCTGTCTAATGAGGAAAAATGGAGAGGTGTAGTA